GTGGGTACCGTACATGTGGCTTATTACTAGAGTTTTTGTTTATATGAGTGGTTGAGTGGTGCGTTAGAAAAATATCTAATGGTCATTAAAAACGAACCATAATTGATAATTTAAATCTAAAAAAAATACTAATAATTTATCAATAATGATTTATTAGTTAATTAGGTCAATTTTAATTTAGATATTATTTTTATCGAATGAATTATTGGCTCGTGATTCAAATTGTTTAATTTTCATAATAAATGAGTCGATAATTTGATAACCAAAATGACTTAATTTCAATTATCATCAGTGTCACTAACAATCTTCTAGCCCTTTGTTTATCTATCGAAGAGATCACTAAAACTTCAATTCCATGTTTTTCTTTAAATTAAGTGTGTGTTTTTTTTTCTCTAAATTTACGTTTTAATTCAAATCAACAAGTTCAATTAGCACGAAACAAATAAAAGTAATTGAGCAATGACCATGAGTACGAATAATTAACATGATATCCACGTTTTGTTGGAACATAGATCGTTTGGTACCTAACAATTAACATATCTTGATAAATGGATTTGAACTTTGTGTCATGTAATATCAAATCGTAATAATTAAATTGATAATTGAACCGTACCAATATATGATATATTAATCGATTTTGTAATGGTTTAGTATATCTACGAACCAATAATTGATAAGCAAAACTAATAACATTTAAAATCGAATTGAACTATCCGAGAAATATACTGGTGATATGGTGACTCTTCATAAATAATAGGGGTGATATTACTATATTATCCTTTGACTTTTTTAAATTTGATGTTTTGATAAATGTGTTAGATGCTAAATGATATTTAATAACAAAGGTAAAATAGAGACAAAAAAATGAAATATCTTTTGAATTTTTAAATTGAACAACTATTTTTAATATGATAGAAAATTATTGTTAAACGGAAGGAGTATCAGAATGTATAATACAGTAATTAAATGGCGGAGTTCTCTACAAAAATAAATTAAGAAATAATAAGTAATGGAAAAGAGAAATAATCCTATGATCCCACCATATAAAAAAGGATTTTAATAATGTAATATAATAAAATTTAAATAGGCAAACAAAAAAAATAATATAATTAAAATAATTATGTAATAAAATACGATTGGTGACAACCATCCAAACAAGCTGACAGATCATCAGTGTCGGCCTATATTTAGGGGCGGAGCCATGTGAGTTCGGTAGAATTCAATAGATTTTATTTAAATAATGTATTTGTGTTGATAAATTTATTAAATAATATAAATATTAAATTTAGAACCCAATTATTATTACTTAAAATCTTCATTGTAAAGTTGATGGTGACAAATGGCAGGTGGCAAGTATCCAATGAAATTAGTTGAGGTGCGCAAAAATTAGCTCGAACACCACAATCATAAAAAATAAAAAAATAAAAAAAAGAACTTCATTATAAAATTCAAAATTCATAATGTTGGATTTCTAGTTTTTCCTATGTCTATGTTATTGAGTGTCGGCCTATGTCGTTGGACGTCTGACTTTGTGGCTAGGTGTCGCTCGATAAAGATTTGAAATTTATGGGTTCTTGAAGCTCAAATTGATTTGAAGTTATTGTTTTGCTTAGACATACATTTAGATTTCTTAAATTGTATTTTTTCTCATAAACATGAATACCCCACAAGTTGTGATATTTTAAGAAATAAAATTCAATTCTAATATAATCTTATCAAATGAGCAAATCATGATCCCTAAATAAGATATCGGTATATCCTAAGACGCCTCATTGATAAATCATATATATTTCATAATTCCTTTTTATAAATGAATGTTTGCTATTATATCTATATATAATTTGAACTAGAATTGAAGGCCAACTCTATCAACAAACGAAAAAATTGAATAATAATAAAAATAAATAAATAAAAAGAAAAAAACTTTAAATCATTTCGCAAAATGGCAGCAAAAGTAAGCAAAGTGGTTGCCAATTGTGACATTTCACTGATGTTATATCTGCCACATCTATCTAATGGGCTAAAGTCGTAGGTAAAAAGAAATATTCATATTCAATAAAATAAAATAATTTAAATAGTCTTTTGAAAAAGAAAAGCCAAGTGAAGAATTATTTGCATTGCAAAAAACAAAATGAACTCATCTAATAAACGAATAAATAAAAGAAGTTATTCAAAAAATATTTTGAAAAAATTGTATAAATACACAACTTAAAATATCATAATCTCTAAAATTTTCTATTATTTCAAAAAAATACAAAAAAAATTCTCTCGAATACATCTCTCATTAAATAATATATTATTTGTAATATCGAATAACCAAACAATGTATTCGGAAGCAATGAAAAATTTGAGATTTTTGTAAAATTTTTGGGATAAAATGTAATTAGCCCCAAACGTATAGGAGTGCCGGGGTGCTAAATAAGACTTTTTGTTTTTCTCACATTCGATTGAAATTCTGATTATGACAATTTAGCTTTATTTTTAAATTAACTCAAACAACTAGCACTAATTAGTTTGATGTCAAACATTTAGGAGTAATTCAATAAGTTAAATTTAAAATAATAACATACTCTTTCACCAATTATATTTCATACATCCAACATTTTTTATCAAATTTAAAAATTGCTAGAATTAATTAATTCATATATCAACCATGGACTACAGAGTACCTTTTATCTTCTTTTTTTTTTTTTTCAAAAACAATCTAAATCTACATGTTATTTCCCTCTTCTTCTTTTTCCTTACCTACACAATTTTTTTTTTATGGTTCATCTGGTGTATCGTATCCACATTAAAGCCCGATCAATTCAATTTCACACTGGGTAGGGCTATATTTTGGGGTAACACTTTCTCGACCTCTAATTAAGGAAAGAAAAATTATTCACTGTATCATATTCTTTAATCGTAAAGTACACAACTTGCTCATGCACTACTACAATTAATTTGTTTTTTTTTTTGCCACCTCATGTACACATGTAGTTTATGTAAGGGTAAGAAATAAAAACAGTTTGGGGACCCAATAAACTGCCAAATGAAAATAAATATCATAACAAACAAGTTGGAATATGTGGAAGAGAATTAAAAAAACTTGCGTGTTTCTACCTTTATCGTTTTATTAGAATGTCTCCAAAATTAAATGCACGTTTCATATTCATTTATTTCTTAATTTATTATTTTTTCCTTTTCTAGAAATAATAAATAATTTATTCTAAATTACTAAATAAATAAAAAATGAAAAAACATTTGTTCTTGGACTTGGAGGAAGCATCACAAGCTCCACTATCTTAAAGATTGCACATTGAATAAAGTTTTTTTTTTCTGGTTTATGTCAAATTCTTTAAGAGATTTTGGTTTTTATACGTAAAATCCACAAAGAATCCTTACATAGTTATTATTTTTATTTAAATCGTAAAATTTTATTGAATTGTTCAAACATCAATAAGATTAACTCGGTCTTATTCTTTATATATATAATAAACATTTAATTAAAATTTGAATAGATTACACGTTGATTGAAAAGATATAAGAATATAATATGATAATTAAAATGAAAGGGATGGAGTAATAAACTACTAGGAATTTATGGAAGAGAATTTTTTTTTCTATTCCATTATTCGAAAAGAAGAATAATAAAAGCTCACAATATATCCCTCAACATTACTTTGTGAAATTGGCTCAAGATTGTAGATTAACTATCCTTTTGAGGAAAATAAAATAGAGGGATTTAATTTTTAAGTCAATATCATTTTAAAACATATGAGCAATAATTATTGGGTTCTGTCAAATCAAAGCTAGCATAGAGGCTTCGACATAATAAAGAAGCTAGAAAAGAAAAGTGACACTTTAGTTATAAGAGTCTTTTAAAAAGAGATATTGATAAAAAAAATAATATATATATATATATATACCTGTATTAAGTTTATGCGAGTTTCACACTCCAATTATCACTTATTTTCTTTTATAAAACATCTTGAAGTTTGACTTTAGGCCACCAATAGTATTGATCCATCCCCTAATAATCTGATATAATTATGATAGAATAACTATGAACTCATTATCAAGAATGTCTAAGATTTCCATTGTATAAAAGAACATGCTAGAAATATTTTTTCTTATTTGTTTTAAGTCATGTATTTGCTATACTAATAATTTTAAACCATTTAATCTAATGTAGGAATTATTATTTTTTTGGTGGAAACTGAAATTGAATCATAAACATACCTGGTAGCACTGTTCACAACAAGCCTCTTCAATAAAATTAAGCAAAAACTGAACATAATTCTTTTTTTTGAGTGATACGGAATAATGTTTTCAGTAAAATTGCAACAAATTTTTAACAATTTCATAATTCGTATGTCCCTCGTTGATTAGGAGGAATTTATTTTTTCACCTTCTAGTTGGGCTAGCAATGAGGATTGGACTCGCACACACAAGAAAGTTGGGCCACAAGACATTGTAAATAAACGCAAACCATGATCCAAGTGTCATTCTCCTTTATTCGCCTCAAGCTAAAATATTTACACAAGCGAGAATGAACAATCCATAAAAAAACTATAGGAAAAACTAAACATAAATTCTACATTCAAACTAGCAAAGATGATAACGGAATAATGTTCTCAACAAAACTACTAACATATTTAAACACTACACTAGGAATCTTGTATTGTCCAACAAAACTACTAACAAATCTGAAGCAAAAAGGCTTTGAGGAAGAGGAAAACAGAGAAACAGGGGCACTAACAACAATTCTAAAGCAAAAAGACTAGAACCTCGAACTCATAAGCTTCAACTTCTGGCTTTGCTAACACTACCATAAGTCAATTTCAGATTTGATATCAAAATTCTACCCCAATTGTTACATCAAAGCTAAAATATTATATTTAACACCAATTGGTAAGCCATGAGATATATCAATCTAGAACAAAAACTGAATAAAAATGCACAAAATCCATAAAAACAACTATAGCAGAAACTAAACATACATTTTACTGTTTTCTTGCTAACATATTCAAACTAGTAAATACTTTAACGGGGTAATATTCTCAACAAATCTGCTAACAAATGCTATATTGGCATAAGGTCTCTTGGTTATGTTGCTATGCTCAGTAAATCTTATGCAATTAGCCGGCATTGAAGCAGGAGCACCCACTACACTCGTTGTTGCAAAAACATACGCCTTCTTTGTCTTGTCATACATCTTTTCTGTTCCAAGCAATGCAGCAATGACATCAATATGCACAGGCAAGTTTTCTCTACTAATATAAACTTTCTCAAGAGTAATATATACCTCCTTTTTAATATCCACGTACCCAAAATATTGTCGATCAGAGTTCTTCTTGATGCAATAGATAGCCAATTTTCCCCAAATTGCAGTATCCATGATACTTAAATGACTGAAATAAGTTTGTGGTGGAGGTAAAACATAACCAAATTCCTCATCTGCAAAGTTGAAATAAACCATATAATGCGCCGGCCAACCCAAATAAACAACTCCATTAAGGTAAATGCATTCATCACCAAAATCATCACATGAGATACTTCTATATTTAAACAAATCAATTTTTCTCCAAGTCGAGTTGGTTACTCCTAGCGTTAGAATTTTGGCCTCGAACGTGTAATCACGAGTAAACAAAAGTAGCAATTTGAAGTTTTCCGTCACCTGATCAAACCCTAGAACCAATTTATCAAATGGACAATTGAAGTTTGGTGTAATTCTTATTTCTTCATTCACGTAGGTTGGGAAAACTTTTATCTCCCTTGTGGTGACATTGAATAAATAAAACTGACTATCTTTATAGCTATACAAACAAACAAATCCATTGCAATGATTCGAACAAATAGCCATATCTTCATCGTAGAAAAAATAATCAAGTTGTAACCATAAATCTATCGATTCATGACCTCTACCCCAATGCCTTTTAGGACGTGTATTGAGTTGAAACAAAAGTCGGGAGGCTGAAGGGCAGACTTGAGAACGAGCATAGTGTAACCGGATAATATTGGGATCTTGCATAGTAGTATTCCAAGCTTTAGAAATACACTTGAATCGCATGAAAGACTTAGCTGGAAGATATGTTAGAATCTCCGATACTATGTCATGAGACAAATGTTGATAATGAGTCTCCATAACTCTAAGGCGAATAAGAGAAAACAAGGGAACGATATAAATGTAAATAGTTGTTTATATAGGCCATAAAATATTGATTAAATTTCACCTCTCCTTAATAGTTTAGAATTTGAATTAAAAAGAGATTTTCTTTGACGCAAACTCCAACCCAAAAAAAAAAGTTTAAAATTTGAATTAAAAAGAGATTTTCTTTGACGCAAACTCCATCACCCCCCACCCTCCAAAAAAAAAACATTACCCGTTAAAATATTTACTAGCAAGAATATATATATATATATATATATATAAATTAATGATATACATTACTCCGTATTAGATTAAATATCTAAATATCTTTACCGATTCACAACGTTCTTTACCAGCCTAGCCCCATTTGCTACTTATCCTTAAAGAAGAATTTTTATCATTAACAAAATAAAATGCGGCTAGACATTGTCGAGTGGTATAAATTCGATATTTTGGGAGTACCAACCCAAGTTAAATATGAAATTTATCATCAGTGTATAAGATAAAAGTAACACAAGTCATCGAGTTTTAACTAAAAAAAAATACAGTGAAATCAAAGGTTAAAATGGGGCACAACCAAGACTTCATAAGAGCTAAATTTCTGTAAGAACAATTGTTGCTGTTGGAATCAGAGAAGTAGGGGCGCAAATTACACAATTCTAGATTCAAACTAGTAAAGACGTTAACAGGATAATATGCTCAACAAAACTACTAACAAATCTTAAACCAACAACATTCAAACTAGTAAAGATGTTAATGGGATAATGTTCTCAACAAAAATGCTAATATTATTAAACACAATACGAGGACTCTCGTCATCGTTGTGGTCAGCAGAACTGCTAACAATTTTCAAGTAACAACGCCTTGAGGAGGACAAAAGCAGAGACGCAGGGGCAGACATTACATTTGTTGTTGCTAAAACATGAGCATGTTCCATTTTCTGCTCATTAATCCATTCTGCACCAAGCAACATAGCTGCAATGGATATAGAACCCACCTTTTCACAAACCTGGTTAACATGGTATACTGGAAATAATACTGGACCCTTTATAACTAATTTCCCCCCCAATACAGTTCGTATGATACTAGGCATTGCGAAAGACATTGATGTGTCGAAATATGGGAGTAAAATATAACCAAATTTCTCTTCTCTGAAGTTGAAATAGACCATACTATCGTTCCAAGAGTACCAATAAACAACCTCATTGAAAAAAATACATTCCACAAAATAATTAAATGCTCTACTACCATTAATCTCATCAATCACATCGATTTTCCTCCAAGATGAATTAGTTTCTTCTAGAGTTAGAATTTTTCCCTTTAATCTACATAGAAGATTTGAGAAAATATGAAGCAATTTGTAGTTTCCGTCAAATCCCAAAAACAACCTTGGTTGCTTAGTAAATATCTGACGTGATAGTATATCCTTATTCATGGAGGATGAGAAAGGTTTTATCTCCTTTGTGGTGACATTGTATAAATAAAGTAGATTATGTTTATAACTATACCAACAAACAAGGCCATTGCAACTATTCGAGCAAATACTATTCTCAGAAAAGCAATCAAGCTCTAAGGGAAATACTTCAGATTTACTTGTTTCCGGATGATAGGACAGGCAGCTACCTGAAGGAGGATATGTTCTGAGTTGAAATAAAAGTCGGGTGGCTGAGGGGCGGGTTTGAGAACGAGCATAGTGGGATTGAATGAAGTTGGGATGTTGGGTCGAAGTATTACAAGCTTTAGAAATACACTTGAATCGCATAAGGGATTTAGCAGGAAAGAATGTTAAGATCTCAATTAGTATGTCATCAGAACAAAATTGATGTATCTCCATAACTTTGAAAGAATAGGAGGAATAAACCTAATTAATTACTAAGCCTTATTAGCACATAAGAGACATATATAGCAAGGATTGAAAGACTTAGCTAGGGTTGACTACAATTATTAATCACTAAAAACATATCATATTTTGGGTTATTTTTTCTATGATATTTAGCATTACTTTGTACCATGTTTAGTTGGCATTTTTATTTGTAGTATAAATGAATAAATTCAGAAGCAAAGCTAAAAAATTTTGTTCATGAATTCATAATTTTATTTTATTTAATGTGTTTTGAATAAATTATTTATACAATTGTTGTGTATGATTTTGGCAAACTCAATAGCTTTGACTCGTATCTTGTATTTATTAGAGCCGTCAATATGGGCTAGGCCTGTTGGGCTGGCCTGGCCTAACCCGGGATTTAATAGGGCTGGGCTAAAAATTTTGGAGCCCATTTAAAAAAAGGGCTTTTTAGCCCGGCCTGAATAAGCCTGCTGATTTGTGGAGCTTGAGAAATATAGGTAGGGCCGGCCCGTGGGCTAATACAAATTAATTAAAAAATATAATATAATATTAAAATTTAAAATTAAAAGAGATCCAAACTCAAAATCTATTTAAAGTTTTGTAGGAAATCACTAAGTATAGAAGTTGCATCCACCATGAAAATGTCCAAACACTTGTTGCTACTCGAAACT